GTTGGGAAAGTTTGAAGGCAAGAGGAGAAGGGTATGACAGAGGATGAGATAGCTGGACAGTGTCTGCGAAGCAACCAACATGAAATTGACAGAACTCCGGGAGGCAGTGGAAGATAGGAGGGCCTGGCGTGCTCTGGCCCATGGGGTCACGAAGAGTCGGACACGGCTAAACGACTAAATGAAACAAGCACCAAATTAGGAAAGGGCTATAGCTCAGTGGCACTGCTAGGAGTAAAAAAAAAATACTTCCTGCTTTCTCCCAATGTAACAATTAACAACAAGAAGTTATTTTTTCAAACACTGTAGTAAGTAACAGACACACACTGGTTTGCTATCAATTTACACTTGTGTAACAGAAATTGTGTAAGTCTTGATGGGCAATTGCTGTTCGTTAATGAAGTGCTGAGTACATTCCTTGGCACTGTGCCTGATTGTCTTTGAGTTTTTGCCCAAGAACACAACCAGCACCTCACAAAACCACAGAATAATGGAGTTGGAAGGAGCCTCAAGTCCAACCCCCTTGTGCAGGAATCCAAATCAAAGCATATCTGACAGATGGTTGTCTAGTTTTCTCTTGAATGCCTCCAGCATTGAGATTGATTCCAAAAACTCACCACCGTCTAAGTAATTGGTTCCAGAACCTGCTCTAACAGGATGTTTTTCCTGAAATTTAACTTCCTGTAACTTATTACGTGCCCTGCACTCTGGGATGATCAAGAACAGATCCTGCCCCTCTACTCTATGATTACCTTTCAAATAGCTGAAAAATGCTAGCATATCTCCCCCTCAGTTCTTTCAGTCTTTCCTCATAGGGCTTCGTTTCCAGTCCTCTGATCATCCTTACTGCCCTCTTCCGAACTTACTCCAGTTTGTATTCTTTTTAAAGCGTGGTGTCCAGAACTGGACATAGTACTTTGGATGAGGCCTAAGCAGTGCTGAACAGAGGTAGAACTAGTACTTCATGGGATTTGGAGATTATGCCTCTGTTAATGCAACCTAGAATAGCATTTGCCTTTTTTGCAGCCATAGTACAAAACTGGCTTCATGTTCAGCTTGTGCCGCACAATAATTCCAAGATCTTCTTGCTGGTAGCGTTACCCCATCTTGGAACTGTGTAGCTAGTTTTTTTCCCCTAGGTACAGAACTTCGCATTTATCTCTGTTAAGTTTCATTCTGTTGTTTTCAGCCCAGTGCTGAAGTCCATCAAGATCATTTTGAATTCTGGTTCTGTCTTCCAGGGTGTTATCTATTCCACTGGTTCTTAACCTTGGGTTACTCAGGAGTTTTGGACTGCAACTCCCAGAAGCCTTCACCACCAGCTGTCCTGACTGGGGTTTCTGGGAGTTGCAGTTCAAAAACATCCGAGTAACAAAGGTTAAGAACCACTGATCTATTCCACCCAGTTTTGTGTCATCTGCAAAACTGAAAGTATTCCCTGCACTCCCTCATCCAAGTCATTAATAAAAATGCTGAAGAGCACCAGACCAAGCACTGAGCCTTGTAGTACCCCACTTGTTGCCTCCTCCCAGTTTAAGAAGGAGCCATTGATAAGCACTCTCTGAGTATTATTCTTACTTTTATTGTAAGCCGCCCAGAGTAGACGTTGTGTAAATGGGCAGGGTATAAATTGAATCAATAAAACAAACAAACAAACAAATAAATATTCTATAACCGTTTATCTGCCTGACAGTTGTTCTATCCAGTCAGATTGCTAATCAGAATATCATGGCACACTTTTGTCAAGGCTTTGCTGAAGCCAAGATATATTACATTTATAGTATTCCCATCATCTACCAGGGAAGTTACCCAAACCAAAAATAAGATAAGATTAGCCTGGTGGGATTTGTTCTTGACAAATCCATGTTGGCTTCTGATTATTACTGCATTGTTTTCATGTGGCTTGCGGAGCGGCCATTTTATAGACTGCCTGAGAACTTTCCCTGGCATCGATGTCAGGCTGATGGGTCTGTAGTTCCCAGGTTCCTCCTTTTGAAGACAGGGACAACATTAGTCTTCCTCCAATCATCCAGCACTTCATGATATCAAGAAGATAATAGTCATTCTGAGAGCCCTTGAGCCAGCCGCTTCAATACTTCTTGGATGCAGTTCATCCGGCCCTGGAGATTTGAACTCATTTCAACCTGATAAGGTATTCCTTCACTATTTTTTAAAATCAACCTCAAACAGCAATCTTCTCCCCTCCCTGCTAGCTCTCCCTGGTCGTTTGCTCTCTGGCATCCATCTCAGTGTTATTCTTCTGCTGTGCTCTGTTAGAGGAGTCAGCATAAGCAGCTCTTGGCCACCAAGATGTATGCTATTTCCTTCACACAAACTTGAATCAGCCGCAGGATTCTGGCC